ATCTAAATCATTACATGATTAATGTATAATTAGTAATTTTCCAAGTAGGGGTTTTCAAACTCTATATAGTGCACAAGATGGATATTTTCTAGGGAAATTTATCATTTTTTTCCTATTTGAAGTGGATTATTTATGAATGGGGTAAATTAACACTAGAAGGTTTTCAACCATGGTTTGGCACAAAGGCTTGGAGAAGTAGGACTGAAATTCACTAATACCAACCTTTTATGTTTGGTATGAGATAATGAAAAATTTAATTTCAATCTCAATCTCAATCCCATATATATAAAATTACCTAATAACACCACCATGTGGTATTAAAAATTCAATCCTTGAATTGATTATTTTATGACCAAATTGCCCTCTCCCAGCCCCCCTCTCTTGTCTCTCTTGCCCAATCCTCTACCCCATCCCTCACACTCACTCAGCCAAGCTTCCACCATACTCGTCCCTTTATTTCCCTATACTTCCCTTGTGCTAAAACTATCATCCACCATAGCAATGTCCTTCCCCTTCTCCCTCCATCGTCCTCCCTTCTCCCTTTGGCTTCCTCCAAATGGTTCTAGTTTGAGTCTCCATTAATAGGTTCAAGTTTGAGTTTGCAAAACCTAGGTTCAAGTTCATCTTCCTCCCACCATCACCGGCGATGAGTCACAAGATTGTAGCTCAGGTTCAACTTTGATGATGTCTAAATTTGGGTTTGAGCTCTCCCTCCCTTACGATTGTGTCAAATATGGGTTCAAGTTCATCTTCCTCCCTCCCTTGGTATTGTGTAGATTTAGGTTAATTTCATCTTCGTCCTCCCAAACCACCAACCATATGCATTTTCTATTAATAATTACAAGGGCCATTATAGTCTTTTCATAATTTCAAATTGATTATAAAAAAATATTAATGCAAGAATTTCATCCAAATATTAATCCACACTTTTAAAACTTCAATATCAATCTCAATCCATCAAAATTCATACCTTAGTACCAAGCAGGGATTTAGTTTGAATGATTCTAATGATGGGATCAAAACTATTGGAGAATTTTTTTTGACTTTGTTAAAGTCTTGTATCAAATTTTTTGGGGTTAAAACTTCTAAAATTTAAATTACTTGGAACTCTATAAGCTAGAAACTTTTTACTGACACAAAATCAAAATCCACAAGAATGAAATTGTCGAATATTATGATTTTGTTTAATGAAACAGCTTGTTTGAATTGAACATAAAGTCAATTTTACAAGTCAAATAATCGATTTTAGTAAAAATTATTCAAACAATCAATTTTTTTATAATTAATTATTGAACTAGAATTACATTTTAAAATAAACTCTGAAAAGTTATTTGTAAATTCAATTTTACTGTTAAATAATATATTTTACTTCTTAACTAAAGTTTAACAAATTTAATGATATTAAATGCAACTTTATTAATAATTTAATTTTGAAAAGCAATATTTTTTATGATAATTTGCACAGCTAAAATCAATTTTAAAAAAATAATATCCAAGCAGATTGCGTTATAACATAATTAATTATAATCAAAATCAATCATATTAATTAATTATTTTTATAATTAATTATACTCAACTAAAATCCAAACGAACCTAAAGAGATTGGACTTGTTAGCTATATTCTTCTTCTGAATTTTTTTTTTTTTAATTTTACCTTCTATCCGAACCCTTCCTCATAGGAAAGGAACATGCACACACCTAAATATATCAATACCAAATTTGAACCTTTGGACATCTTTCAACCAAGGAAAATGATGTTGCCATTAGGACAACTTGCATTAACAATTCTTCCTCTAAATTATCTAATATCTACTAATCCTTGAAGTTCACAATAAGAAAAGCGTAGAAAGCTTAGGATAGCATCTGTTCAAGAAGGGGATTTTTACGTGAAGATCGGGCATTGACATTAACATACACCATAGTTGGTCCATGAATAACTAATTTATGTGATATATTTATCAAGTTCCCAATTGTTCACTGCGATATCCAATGTTCCAACAATCAAATTCAAAACAGCCCGAATTGTGATTCAAAAATTTCACACAACCATATTTTCTATGTCACACTCTACATTCACTTTTTGTGCATTCTTGAATAGTTTTGAATATTTAAATGCAAGATGGATGTAGAATCTACTTTCTTGAGACTCTAGTTATGCCAAATATTTAAGTAAACCAGCCTCAATCCACTACAGAACAGGCAGACCAAAAATAATACAACAACAACAACAAGCCTTTATCCCACTAGGTGGGGTCGGCTACATAGATTGCAAGACGCCATTGTGCTCTATCATTTATTAAGCTTTTAGAAATATTATTAATTAAGAGATCACGTTCAACAACTTCCAAGAGTGTTCTCTTAGGCCTTCCTCTACCTCTCTTAATCGGACTCAAAGTTATATGTTCCACTCTTCTCACTGGTGCCTCCCTTGGTCTTCTTTGTACATGCCCAAACCATCTCAACCGATTTTTACCATTTTTTTCTCAATAGGTGCCACCCTCACTTTGTCGCGTATGTGCTCATTTCGAATTTTATCTTTACGTGTATGTCCGCACATCCATCGTAACATTTTCATCTCTGCTACTCCAACTTTATGCTCTTGCTGTCCCGTTAGAGCCCAGCATTCACTACTATATAACATTGCCGGTCTGATAGCAGCCAGACCAAAAATAATAACAACAATAATATTGGCAGTGTCCAAATCCAGATAAGACTAAGGAGAAGAGCGTTGGAATGTAAAAGAGCAATCAGATCAGACTCATGTAGATAACCCAAACAGGTAATTGCAAAAGTGATAAGGGAGCAAAATGAGATTCTAAAATTACATTAATTAAAAAATGAAAAAGAAAAAGAAAAAGAAAAAGGGGAAAAGGGAATCATTTTGCTGTAAATGAATGCAAGTTTGGCAATACAAAAAGAGTCCATCAAAGGCAGCTGGATGTAATAAATGTGTTCTCACTAAGTCCTATTTGCCTCCTCCAGTACGCAAGGAATCAATCAGCAGTTTAAAAAACAAGTTAATGAAAGAGCCAAAGACATGAACAAAAGTGGCCAAATACAGGGCAAAGTAGGTGTTGACCAGCCCATTCTCGTGACAGATGAATCAACATCAAAGACATTATAAAATATAACCAAATGTTCAGATATAAATCCAAAATATTAATTCTTTGTCCATATTGTTCTTCCTAAGATTAACCAACTTTAGCAATCTTTGACGGGTAAACGGTGAACTACTAACCTGCCTGATGCTGCTAAAGAGACAACACCAAGTAATTGCACTGATATAACGCTATCTACCACATCAGATATGTGCCAGTTAGGGGAAGGAAATTTGGTAGGCACCACAATTATTCAACAACTTCAAGACTTTAATGAAACCACAAGAACTATCATCCATGGAAATACATTATATCCAAGCAATTGTAAGATAAACTCATGATTAAGTCAGTCAACTACGCAAATTCTTTAATCAAATCTGCCAGCTGAACTTCGAGAGCAGGTTGGGAGAATGGCTAAAATTACAGGGATTAGCGTTTCTTTACTTTTGAGTTTTCTTTTTTAATGAAAGCATGGCTAATAAACTCGAGACATTTTTGAAACTTGATTAATTATTTAGCCCCCTAAAGAATTTACAGATAGCTCTGTCTCAGATGCGCTTATTCTCTTTGATTAGTATATCGGAGAAAAGCTTAAAATCTGCAGCTTATTAGGCGTGGTGATTAGAGAAGAATCCCTTAAGTCTAACATGGACTCCATAATAGCATGATTAGCGACTAAAATTAAATCAAGTTACAAAACACTATCCACAAAAGATGGAACGGGTGATTGTAATTAAAATCACCAAAAATCGGTGGTTACACACTTTGGAGCAGGAACTTTTTCCCTCCAAAGTTTGGGTAAGTTGTGAAAAGACCAGGTACTCATTATTCTGCCCATGCATCAAGAAGGCTCATTTATTAGAAGATAAAGGATAGAGGCAATAAAGTTACCAGGCGAAGCTCTCTCTGCAAATTTCCAACCAACCACCAATCCACATGTATAATCACAAAAGGACTATTTCGAGGGAAGGAAGGGGGGTAATCATGCAATTTGTTCTACTAACTCGTGTTTTCCTCCACTAACTCATGCAACTACACAGTGCAGGCATCTATCAATTTCAGTTTTCTGTAAATAAATGATCAGAAGATTATTTACTCAGATTTTGCACTGGCAAACTGGGATTTAAAATCCATCATAATACCTCAAAACATACCTTCTGCCAAATTGGTAGATCAATTCTGCATGTTTGTTTTTCAACATGCAACCATAAAAAATTTAAGCTTGTCTTGACTATAACAGTAACAAGAATCGAGTATTAACTGCATGAGATGCATTTCTATAACTAACATAACATGTTAATGATGAATAAAAAAAATCTACATGCTTAAGCTATGCATGAACAATTCAAGAAAACTGAAAACCTTTGCTTTAACTTGCAGAGAAAATGTGGCACTAAAGGAGTACTTAGCAAATAAGAATAATTGTCCAACAATATTTAGAACCAGCAATCTGCCACGTATTTTTCCCAGAGAAACCAAGCTTATCTTTACCATATATGCAAATAATTACTCAAGAGCTTAGACATAGAAGAAGAAATTCAGTTTAATAGTGAAACTGAAAATAATTAATAAAAAATGCGTGACATGAAAATTATTCAAATTATAATATCCAAGAGACAGATGAAGATGTGATTCCTCAAGTTAATTCTTACAACTACAAACAAAAGAAAACTTTGATTCATGACTCACCTGGACAATGGTATCAAGAATCTTCCTGCCAAAGTTTCATGGAGTAGACATTTTTCACAAAATAATCGGCAGAAATGCCTTGATGAAAAATCATGTTTAGATGTATTTATTCAAAATTGCAACAATTTTGGCATTAGGTTCTAGTGTTACTCAATTGGGCCTCGTAAAAGCACATTTAGTGTGAGACTGCTTCTCAGATGACACAGATTCTAATTGGAAACTCAACTCACAATTCGTTCATTAAAGTATACCTATACATTATTGGAAAAACTCGAAAACAGCAAGATTAATCAGTATATGATCATTGCCTGAAGACCAAGAATCTGGAACTATGAAAGATTACAATTCGACAGGACCAACTAGCAACTTCTACCTTATCACAGCTGAGAGCCTAAGAACAGAAACCTACCCCATCATCTTTATTCAATGTACAAGATACAAAAGAACCCTATGACCACAAAATCATCATTTTGTACAGGACCTAACCAACAAGGTAGGGGGGAAAACAACAAATCACCCGACTCACCTCCACGGCTGACAATAAATCTTATCAAAATTGACTCTTTCCGGTTTCTCAATATACTTTGATTTTCCTATCAACTCTTCCTACGATTGCCACGCAGAACCTTAATCAAACTGGATGAATTTCTCCTTATTTTTTCATTATCATCCTCCAGTAATCCCAGACAAATCTCCAAAATTCCCCCTTTAGTCGCCTCCAGAACCATTTTTTCACTATTACAAAGGGAATTCAGTGCCAACAAGGCATATTGAATTCCCCTCGAGCTTCCATTTCTCAGCACCCGCGCTAAAATCTGAACGCATCCATTATACCTTTCCATTTGTTCTCTACCTTCCCGACACTTAGCCAGCACACCAAGAACTTCAACAGCCCTTTCAAGACCAGAATCAACACTTCTTAACAAAATCGGGACTGCCCCACATTCTACGGCTCTCCTACGATTATCTGGAAAAGAACATATAGCATAGAGCGCTGTGGCCGCTTCTTTCTTCTCTCTGCCTTCACCATCTCGAAGAAGAGAAACAAGAGCTCCTATAGCATATGGATACGCACCAATGGTGGCTTTGTTCACCTCCACGACCGCCAAACTCGTCAACATGGTTGCCGCCACTGCTCGGCAATCCGATGAGCCACCTAACAGAACAGCCACAACCTTCCCGATCGCACCCTCCGCCACCAAACCCACCTTGTTATCGTCGTCGAGACTAAGGTTGAGCAACAACGAAAGCGCTTTCTCCTGTAGACTAGGCTCACCAGAGTCAACGCAGTGCAGCACCGCCGACACGACTCCTGACTCAGTCAACCGCCGACGGAAAACCGAGTCACGCTTGGAAAGGCGCGTAAGTTGGTCCAGCAATTCAATTCTGCTCTCCAGCGACGACGAGCGAGAGGTAATGGAAAAAACTAGGGTTTCCGGTTGGGGAGGAGGATGCTGCTTGAATGATGAGATATGATAATAGCTTGAAATCAAGCTTCTGAGAGCGTGATTGGGGATGAGGGAAGGGCAATCAGGGAGGGGTAGTTTGGTAATCGGACAAGTCCGGTGGCCGGCGTCGAGCCAGCGCTGGATTGAAGACCGGTCGAAGGTGTGACCCGAAGACAGGATAACCGGGTCGGACATTATCTCGAGCGAAATCGGACACTTGAAGTGGTCCGGGAGGTGCGTAGGATTAGGAGCAGCCATGGCAGCAACAGTTTCTCTCGCTAGAAAATTTGAGACTTCCTTGTGACGGAGCGACAGCGAGTGTTTAAGTGGAGGCGTCATTTTTTTTTTTTTTCCCCGAGAAGTATTTCTTACTTTCGGTGAGCGTTTAGCATAACGTCTTTAACTTTTTTTTAGTTTCACTGTTTGAAAGACTTCAGGAGCTGTAAATACGTTAATACCCTTGTTTCTGTGCTATAATTTCCATGAATAGTAGTGACGGACGAACGGCTAGCGTTGGGAATTGGCGTATTTGGTCCTAACAGAGAAAGTACAACAAAACTAGGTCAAGAATCATGGCGAAACAGTTGAATACAAATGGTGCCTCAAAGCATGTGGGGTAAAACTTGATATTAACCATTCAATTAACAATTATGGTATTGTTGATTGTAATAGAGGATGGGTTAAGGGCAGAATTCATGAATATCCTTAAAGAATAAAATTCTATTAAAATGATAAGTTGGATAAAGTTAACGTTTATTTTAACTTTCTTAAAACTTTTATGATTATCAAATATGAGTTTTTAAATAATCATTCCCTTATTAAAATTATTAAAAAAATTAAAGAATTTATTATGAGTGACTAAATAATCATGCTTGAACACATATCTAAAATAAATAAATAAATGTATTGATTGACTTGCACATACAATTTTAAATGATAATTTAAACATGAAGATTAAGATTTTTTATATTCCCCCTAATGGTATGAGAATTTTTGGCACTTTGCAACGACTTGATCATAGCACAGAAAAAATTAGGTCAAGAATTCTTGTATTGTAAGAGAGGAGAATCAATAATCAACAATAACTACAAACTTTATTATATTAGGCAAGATCAGTTACATGTATTGTACTAAGTCATTATATTTGTCAACAACATTAGTAATGGCGCATTATATCAAATTATCATGACAAGTACCACAAAATGGTTAATTTCTCCAAATGTATGATAAAGAGGAACAGTCAAATCTCTTATAATGAGTTGTTTCTGATATCCCTAGCATGGTTGAAGAGAGGATGGCCATGATAATGTCTACTAAAAATTAGGGAAATCATTTGAAGAATCATAGTAAATATTGACTTGAGAGATCTTTTCTTCCTAACAAAGATATCAAGTCCTTCAAGCTAGAAGTTTCCTAGTAGCGCTGGCCATGCATTTGGTAATTTGAAAAAAAAATTAAAAAGTATACTTTTTTTTAATGCAAGACCATAATAAAAATATCATGTAAAAGAATTAAAATCAAGTTATATCAAAAGTCAAAATACTTTTACAATCTATGAGAACATCATCAAATAAAATAGTATCAAAATATTCACTTAAAATCTTATGAGTTAAAAGATCAATACAATGATTGCTTCTCTATAAAAAAGTGTTTCGCAAAACTACTTCTTAGTGACTGACGTATTTCCAAAATCCCACTAATTTTACCATGTGTTTTTAAATTTTAAATATTTTACACTAAAAAAAGATATTCTATCTAATTTTAACATGTTTTTATTTTAAATTTTAAAATATTTATAAATGATTTTTTTCACGATAAATTTTAAATTGAATAGTTTATTCTGATTTAAAAAGTTGATCGATGTTTCTTTGTTTGTTTTTTTCATTGGTAAGAAGTTGATGTTTCGTTTTATAAGATATTTTATAAAATTTAAATAGTAATCAATGCGTTTTTTCTTCAAAAATACCCATTAAAAAAGTGCTTTTAAGTTTGTAATTAATTAAGAAGTGTGTGAAAAAGAGTAGAGTATTTAATGAAGAGTATTTACAATAATATGGGACAATTTTAAAGACATCAATTAATTTTCTTAACCTATTTAAAATAGATAATAGATACTCCTTTCAAACTACAACATAAATTATTGTTAATTATCTGTATTTCTCAAAAAAGGTTAATCAAAATCTTAATATTTTTTAAAATTTTGATATCTTTTTAATTGTGCCTTTGATAGTAATAAATATAACAATTAATTTATTCAAAACACCCTCATTAATTGTTCAATAAAATAAAAGCGTAACTAAAAAAAATCAAATACTTACCAAATGCCTTGTATTTTGAACCATGTAAAGCTTTTAAAAAAAATTTTATATTATGATTTAAAGAGTAATTCTATCTCAAGCAAAAGAAAAAAAGGAATTTTGTCTTATGAAATTGGATAAAGTAACAATCACGATTAAATTCTCAAAACTGAATTTATGACAGTTAAATTTTAATTAAATTTTCTATAAAATTAGTTAAAAATATTATTGATGAATATAATTATAAATAAGATATTTAAATTTTATATGTAACTCTCATATTAGGATTTTTGTTTGAAATTGTCTGAAATTACTATTTACAACTCATTCCTTGAAAATTTTTGCTTGCAGCCTAATTGCTATTTATTTATTTTTAACCTAATTGTCATTCTTCTTTAAATAAAACATCTTTTAAAAGAGATTGATGGTATTTAATATCAAACGCTTGGTCTAGCATTAGTTATATTCTTTTTAATATTATTATTTTTTAAATTCATTAATTATAAAAGAAAATATAGTGTAAATTTAAAATCTTTTCATCAATAAAATTAAAATTTTAATATTTTTAAATAAAATTAATAATTTAATTATATCTTCTTAATTTTATGAGTCATTAAAGTGTCTTATAATACACACGGGAATGTATATTTTTTTTTAACTAAGAATAAAATTATCAAAATCCAATTTTATGGGCCAGTCTCCCCAAACGACGCGTGTGGTCATTATCTCAAGTTGAACTATAGGAACACACACATATAATTGGCCGAAAAAAAGACACACACACATAACACGCGTGGACTGCAGCATGTGGATGCAGATCGGTTCACTATGTCATCAAATCTTGATAGTGGCTTTAAATTACAGTTTAAACCTCACGATCCCTTTGCATGTTTTTTAGCTAATAATAAAAAAAAAGTTAATAACAATTAATATCAAAATCCAATTTCATGGGCCAGTCCCCCCAATGACACGTGTCGCCATTGTCTAAAGTTGAATTATTTTCACATATACACACATGCACATAAAGATATATATATATATATATATATATATATCGTGTGCGCTGCAAAGTGTGGATGCAGATCGGTTCACCTATGTCATCAAATCTTGATAGTGGCTTTAAAGTTTAAACCTCACGGTTCCTTTGCATGATCTTTAATTCTTCATCCAGCACTCGCCTTATGTAAAATTGTTATTTTTCACATTAAGCTAGATTATATTTGCAAAACCATTTAATCTTTGATTTATAAATTATAACAACATTTTATAAATTTTATATTGTATATAGCTATAAAATAAATAAATAAATTATTTATTTTTATGTTGATTTCAAAATAAACCAAATTATACATTATTTATCAATAAATGATATGGTTTATTATACATTTTTCATCTTGTATCGATTTTGTTTGTCCCAAAAAGGTAACATCTAAATTTAATAATCACGTTGGCAAAATGTTTAAAGTATACTCCCTCCATTTAAAAATATAAGATATTTTTTAAGGAGTTGAATGTTCAAAAATACAGGGTAATTTTAATCTTTCGAGATATAATCATTATTTTTTTTTTAAAAATACCCCTATTGATAATAACTTTATATTTATTATAAAATGTTTAATAAAGATAAAGATGAAAAATTAGGGTTAGTTTGAAAGAAGATAACTATTTTATTGAAAAGTGAGATTCAGTTAAAAATATTTTATATTTTTGAATGAAGGGAGTATTAAAATTAAAATTTAATATTTTAATGACTGAAATTATAACTGATACTCTCAACAATTATTATTGATTTTTCAAATTTAAACTCAAATTTTCCCGATATCATAAAAATACTTTGAAGGTTAAATTTAAAGAAAGTGAATGGTATTTTTAAACTAGCGTCAATTATAAGTTCAATCAATCAGATAAATTTTAATTCTAAAATCCTTGTAATTATTACTGCATTCAGTCCATAGGAAATTATAACGTTTAGCATTGAAAAGTTTAATTATAGGTACTCTATACAGTAAATCGTTCAAAAAAAAAAAAGGTACTCTATACCGTAAATAAATGAACCAAATAAATATAATCAACGGAGTTAGATTTAGTAGAAGATGATATTCCCTCACAATGTAACGTATTAATTTAGAACATCTATTAAAAGATATGTCCAATGGCAAGGTTAGGATCTAGAGTCAAGGAATGCGAGAGAACTCAATTTAAAAATAATAATTAAAAAATATTATAATAATTTAAAAAAATTATTACTTAGACAAAAATATAATAACATAAGTAAAGTTATGCATATTTTTATTTTAAAAAAATATACTGAGAATTTATTTGGGCAAAAAAAAATATTGAGAAAGTTGATATAGAGTTTAATTTAAAAAAAGAAAAGGAAAAGAAAATTGTTACCTAAAAGGATGGCTTTAATTTGTTATGCTTGGATTTTATTATAAAATAAACAACTCCTAATTCATTTTTTTTAATAATATGTCAAATAAGTATAAAAAAATTTTGTTTAAATTTATAAAATATGAGTTAAAATATCATTTATTTAAGAAGTTTTAGAATCCAAATATTTTTTATTAAATCTAGAAGGTTCAAAATTCTAAAACTAGGCGGGGTGCAAGATTGCAACTTTTATATACTATTCATATAATATTCTCCATGTGAGGAGGTGCATTTGCACCCCTCAAATACACTTAACTCGGCGTTGGATATGTTTATATTTAGTGCATGATCATATTTTTAATTTTATTACTTTTAATAGAATGACACATGTATGTAATAAAAAGAAATAAAGAAATGAACCTAAATATTGAAGTAATTTTGTAACAAATCAGTTGGTATCCAAAATTATATTACATTCTGACTAATCTAGATTTGAGTCAAATTAAGCTCCAAATGGGAACATTTTAATTAATAGAAGAATGAAGTGATGGGAATTGAAAAAACGAGTTAAAATCAAACATTTATCATCATGAGTTAATGTTTGGTTGCCCATATCATGAAGAGAGGGAAAAAATAGGAAAGAAGATAGGTCAGTTTCACATATCATATGGAGCTTACAGTAAGATTCTTACCCATGTAATT